GAAATTAATCACTATACTTTGATATTAACTCTACTTTTATAACTTTAAAAATAAGTAGTTAAATGCATTTCAAATGGAAGGTTTTAACTTACTGTGGTTGGAACAAAATAAACAACTTCAAGTTACTTCCAAAATGAATTCTGGTATGCATCTTTTGAGAAAACATAAAACAGTTTCTCTCTTTGTAAAACTGGCATTATTTCTTTGAGATATCCTCTCCCCCATGTTTGTTTATTTTTAAGTTGATTGAGATTGAATTTATATATGGTAAAATTCTTTTTAGGTTCAGTTTTATAAGTTTGCACAGTGGACACAGTTGTATGATCGCCACCCCAAGGAAGTTATGGAATGTTTTCATTGCCACAAATTCATTTATGGGCAATCCCCTATTCCTTTTTCAGCCCTTGGCAGCCACTGTTCTGATTTATTGCTGGTTGCTGGGTGGTGTTTCATTGTGTAAATACAGTGCAATTTGTTTATCCATTCATCAGATGATGGACATTTGGATTGTTTCCAGATATTGATGATTATAAGTAAGCTGCTATCAAGATTTGCGTACAGGGCTTTGTGTGGATATATTTTCCTTTCTTCTGAGTGAACATGAATGGGATTACAGATTCTTATGGGGAGAAACTCAACTGTTTTTCAGAGAGCCTGTACCATTTTGCGTTCCCACTGGCACTGTATTAGAGTTCCAGTTGCTCCAATTCCTTTCCAGCACTTGTTATTTTTCTTTCTTCTTTTAGCTCTTTTCATCAGTTCATAGTGGTGTTTCATTGTGGTTATAATTTAATGTTGAACTTCTTTTCATGTTCTCATTTGCCATCTGAAAAAAGTGTTTGGCTTTTTTGGTAAAGTGACAATTCAGACCTTTTGCCCATTTTATTGAATTGTTTGTTTTCTTATTGTGTTCTGACAAATTTTTTATATATTCTGGATACAAGTCATCTATTAGATATGTAATTTATAAATATTTCTCTCAAATTTGTGACTTTATTTTCTTTCAAAGAAAAATTGGAATTTTTAACTTAATCAATAAAAGTGTATCACCTGAGCATAAACAGATATTTTCTTAATGGTGTCTTTTGAAGATAAATTAGGAAGTCCAGTTTTTGTTTTTTTTTTTAATGGTTTGTGCTTTTTTGTTCTATCTAGGGAATCTTTGCCTAAGCCAAAGTCTCAAAAGGTTTTATTCTATGTTCTATTCCAGATCTAGTTCAAAAATTTGAGTTAATATATATATGTGGTATAGGATATGGGCCAATATTTGTGGGTTTTTTTGTATATGGATATCTAATTGTTCTGGGACCATTGAAATAACTATTAACAATGGACTGTATATGTGTGGGTCTTTTGTAGAGAGCAGGGCTTGGCTTAGTGCTAAGGTTAGCACTCACTGGTGCACTGTTGTCACCAACAGTGTTGTTTGTTGTGACAGACAGTGCTTTGGCTGTGCCAAAGATTCCCAGATGATGTTGTCAGTCTTCTCCTCTTGGAAGAGTGGGAAATTGCTCAGGTGAAGGCAACACCAGCAGTCTCTGAAAAATGTGGGACGTTCATTCTTCAAACTTCTTTTGTTTCCTGAACCTTATTAAAGGTCTCTGGGCCAAATGTAAAATTCCTTTTCAGGGCCTCCTAGATTATGCCTCATCTTTTTGAACAAGGAGATCATGTTAATATCAGTTATTAATGGCTATCATGGACCTAAAAATATGATTTATGACTTAACAATGCATTCATAATTTTGCATCACAACTTTTTATAAAGAAACTGCCCCCATCCCTTTACCTTGAAGAAAAAAACTTCAAAATGTAATTTTAAAAGTCTGATTTTGTAATATATTAATTTTTTCTAGTGATGAAAAATACTGTACCAAAAATATAAAATTGGCCTTGAATTTCTTGGATCAAATAATGAAGTCTGAAGACATTTTTAGTATATTACTTTGGGGTTTGACGTCCTATCATCTCTTAAAGGGCGGAAATTTGTTGTTGGACAGTTCAGCTCTGACTTTTCTCCCCACCTGCTGATTTGTTCTGCGACTGAGCTTTGTGTGCCTTTTGGAACAAGGACTTGGTTTTCTTTGTATCCTTCATTTCAAGGACAGTGAAGGACACATAAAAGTTGCTTAGTAAGTGGAGAATAAGGAATAACTTTACAATAATGGTGGCAATAAAGGTAGCAATTCTTTCCTTAAATACAGTGTACTAGCTTTCATTAAACAAATTGAAATAATAATTATTTAATTTTATATGAAAACTAGAATCTTACCTGCAATGCGTCATGCAAATTAACAATCTTTTAAACAACTCTTTAGAAAGAAAAATTATCTGCCATATTTAAATAAATGTTTTTTCATTCTTTTACATCTTATATATTTGGCAACATACTTGGAACTTTATCTTCAATTTTCTAAAGACATAAGTAGCTTTATTTTTTTTTCTTGAACATAAACAACAGAGTAAAAAAAATTCAAGTTCCTTACATGTTATTTGCTCTTCACCAGATTTCTTCCTGATACAGTTATGCTATTTTAAATGAATCTCAAAGAAACATCTCTTGTGCCGTTTTGTCTTTTTCTTTCCTTCTTCATTTAGAAGATGTTTTCTAAGAGTTTTCTCTGAAGCTTGTAGAGCTGAGCAAGCCTTCTATGACCTTATTCTCTTGCGGGGAACAGTAATAGAAACCGCAAATTACCAGTGGCTTCGTCCTAAGAGCCAAACCCTGTGGACGTTCTTTCTTTGTTATCTCAGCCTCATAGAGGGTCTAACATGGCTTGTCCATACTCCTTCCTTCCTCTGACTTCTCATGCCTCTCTCAGAGGGGTCTGTCTTCTGCAGTATGTGGAAAGTGATGGGTTTCCTGGAGTTTCAGCCCCTTTTTTTCTCTGCCTTCTTCGTTGGCCACCTCGTCCCCTCTGCCGACCCCGGCTGCTGCTTATGTATGTATGTTTAACAAACCTGCCTTTTCACATCAGACTCAGTTACTCCCCTGACTGCCTGTTGACACCTCGACTTGAGGCCCCTCACATTCAGTGTGAACTAATTCAACTCTTGATTTAGTCCATATTTCCTTTCATTATTGTATTACCATCATCCATCTAGCTAGTTATCTTGGCCTTAAATCTGGGAATCATTTTTTTGCCTCTCCTTTATCTTCCTTTCTCCTCATATCCCATGTAGAATGTGCCAGACACCCCTCTTCTCCCAAACACTTCCCCTTCACTGCACTTCACCTTCAATCTTAAAAGCTAATTGTGCACCCTTGCAAAACTTAAGTAGAAGTAGATGAAAAGTTATATTTACATTTAACTATTCTGCAGGCATTTTTTAAAAATAAGATTTTAGAGACCGTAAAACCACATTTGAAATTCAGATATTGCACCAGCAATCAGGCTGCTTTGCCAGTGATCAAAAGAGGCAGCTTTTCATATGAAATAACACAAAATATAAATGTATGTATATAGTTTATCTGGTGAGAACTGTTGTTCCTTGACATTGTACACTCTAATGCTTTAGGTTCTCCCCTCACCTCAGTTACCATAGTTATCAGTAGTTGCTCACTACAGGTGACCCAGTATCAGGTATTGAGTAAGCATGATTTTCAGGTAAGAACATGACAGTAGCATCCTTGTTTTCATCTTGCAGTCGGGGAGTATTGGTTTGGTGAAAGGAGGAATATGGCAAGTGATCAAAGTCCCTAGAGAGATGAGCATAAATAATGACTTTACATTTATAAGTATCACTTAGTGTTTTCTCAGGTTGCTCTCTAGCAACCTAGTGAAGTAGGCAAGAACTGCTGTATGTATTTCATGGATAAACTACAGGCCTGCCCTGAATTGTTCACGTAAGTGCATCTCTGATGGCCACCATGGAACTTGTTGCATAAAGTTGTCCTTGTAAAAAGCTGCTACCTTGCCCACACTCTGGTCTGTCCAGGGCGTCTGCATTTGTAGCTTTCAGCATGGACACAGTGCGAACTCTTGTTTCCTCACTCCACTTCATAGGAATGCACTTGGTTTATATTTCCCCTGGTCTTCAGTGACACAGGCTTTGAGCCTCAGAGTCAGCTGCTGAGCGGGAGATTCTCTACCTCTCTAGGTCTCTCAGGCTGCTTCAGCATGCTCCAGGATGAATTCCTTATGCTTAAGACGCCTATGCTCAAACTATCCCAAATGACTTTTCAAAATTGTTAACAGTTCCTCTAGTCATTTTCTCATCATGGTATAGCATGATAAAGGGAGATAGCAGGGTGGGAAATGGAAACTAAAAACAGGGAAGTGTATAAAATTGTCAGAGCCAAGACTAAATGTCAGATCTTATGACATATACTTTTCTTTCCCATTTTACTTTCCACGAATCTGTTTCCTGAATGATTGGTGACTGTTGCAGTTTTAGATTGAGATTCAGTGTAAAAGAGGAATGAGAGTTAGCTCGGGAAGCTACTGTAGTGCAGGCTCCAAGGAGAACTCTTATTAATTCTTGAGCCTGGGTACTGAATGCGGACAGTTGAAATGCACTTGGAATCACTAGTTGCCTAATCCCCTATGGTAATTAATAGCTTAACTTTTGCCTTAACACATAATGTAGCAATTGAGTAGAAAGGTAGTTAAGACCCAGGTGTTTGATGAGTGTGAAATAGTAGCTCACTGTTGTTTTAATTTGCATTTCCTAATTGTAGGGAATTGAGCACTTTTCTACGTGTTTGTTGGCTGTTAGGTTTCCGTTCTGCAAAGTACCTGTTTATATCTTTTACCTGTTTTCCTATTGGATTGTTGTATATTGATTTGTAGGAATTATTTATGTAGTCCTGATACTCTTTATATATCTTATAAGCATTTTTCCAAGTCTGATTTTCAAACATAGTCTTCATAGTGAAATTTCTTATTCTTAATGAAATTAATAATTTATAGTATTTAATGTTTATAATATTAAATTAATTTTATAATTCACTTTTGAGGTTCTGAATTTTTAAGTTAATCTTTTTTCCTTTCTTTATAGGGTATGAATGTGATTTCTGATGAAACTGGATTGGAATAATTTTCATCTTTGTATATTTATATATATATTTTTAAATTTTGCATTTGACTTAAAGTGCCATGAGAAAATTTGCATACTGCAAGGTGGTCCTAGCCACCTCCTTGATTTGGGTACTCTTGGATATGTTCCTGCTGCTTTACTTCAGTGAATGCAACAAATGTGATGAAAAAAAGGAGAGAGGACTTCCTGCTGGGGATGGTGAGTGACATTTTATAATACAGCTGTTTTAATCAGTATATCACTGGTTTTTACTAACTAATTTGGGTAATATAAAATTTTAACTTTTTTAGATTAACAGATGTCCCTGACTTCCTGTAGGAGATACGATGATCATATTGATAGTTCTCAAATGGGTTCATCCAACACTTAAAAGCATTAAAGTATCGTGTATAGAATTGCTAAATTCGACTTTTGTGTTCAATATTCAGTGTAGTTAATTTCTTACAAGTTACTTTATGTTACTTAATAATGTGGGTATCTCATAGTTGGGCATATCAAAGTTGTACAGAAGATTAGTCTAATGCTGAGTGGAGCATTAAAATTGCATTATAAGGTATCAAAAGAGATTACTCCAGCCCTCCCATCTCAGTCCTAAGGGGAAGAAGTTTTTATAGATAGATGTGATCTGGAGAGGTTTTTGTTGTTGTTGTTAATGTTGTAGATAGCTCCAGTTAGTACTTCTAGGGAGAACTTTTAAAAAGATTGGGTGATAGACTAGAGGCTGGAGTGAGATCATTGCAATATCTAGTATGGAAAGGAAAGAAAATATACAAATATAAAGGAGGGAGGGAATAGGTAGTACTGATATTTTTGTCAGAGGACTTTGGAAAATTCAGTTTTAAACTCCTTTTATTCAACAAACAAATTCTTTTTTTTTTTTTTTTTTTTCATTTTTAACCATAATGAAAATGACTGCATTGCAGGAGTCAGTAATGCAGTTGTTGTGGGCTCTGAACTCTGTGATTAGTTATAGAATACATGGCTGTACAGCAGTTCTACTATTTTTAGAAATTATATACAAATAATTACTCTTTCAACATGTTTTAAGCATATAGCCACATTTAAATTTTTTGCACTTTTATAATGAGAAGGACCTTTGATCCCCCAAAACTTACAATAGAAAAAAATATTAATTTGTATTGTTAACTGTACCAACTTAACTGTAATTGTTATATGTGGGCTTACATAACTGGTTCTAATTATATCTTCCTGGGAAATCTGCCTAAAATTAGGCTCAGTTGCTAGCACTGAATTCCAGTAATGCCTAGGCTAATTCTTAACTTAAATTTTCACTTTTTTGAAAGGTTTTAATACATTTTTCATCCAAAGTCAGCCTGTTAGTTTGTATATTTACTTTATAGCTCTGCTGTTTAGTATCTGTTGGGTGACAAAATGTTGCCTCCTTAACTGTTGCTAGAGCTGTACTCATGCCGTCTATGTTTAAATCAAAGAACAGGTATTACCATTCATCAGTCAGAAACTTGAGTATTCTTTTCCCAAACAGAATGGAATAAATTTCCCCTCACCCTACCTTAATTCATTGCTATTTATAATAAGCTCCTGGTGTTCTATCTTAAATGTAAAGACTTGACAGTGAGAAAGAATAGGCTCTGTAGCATGTGAAGATTCACTTGAATGTTTTTTTGACTTTTATATGTGCTGGGCAAGGTACTAGGTTTTGTTGATACACAGTTGAACAAAAAAATAAGACAAAATTCCTCCCTTCAGGGAACTCACAGTCTAATGGAAGAGAAATAACAATAGTAAATACCAGTATACTAAATATCACTTTAGGAATATGCACAAGAGTAGAAAGGAAGGAATGCCTTGGGGTGTCTGAGAAGCTGCAGGAAGGAAGTATGTTCCAGCTGAGTATCAGCTTGAGCAGGTGTTTGTTAGGTCTGTTGGGAGAGGGGAAGACCTTCCAAGCAAAGGAAAGAAGGATGTGCAAGATTAGCAAGTGAGAACAGAGTTGATAGGAGAACAAGAGCACAGGATGAAGCTTGGGAGATGGCAGAGGCCATGTCACACAAGGCCTTTTATGGCATTGTAGGGATTTTGGACTTCATCTGTAGACAGCGGCATGGTGCTGAAGCATTTTAAACAAGGGAGTAAGGCCTGATTGGACCTGGACTTCTGGAAGAATGCTTTAGTGGTCATGTGACTGATGGACTGGAAGAGAACGAGGCAGGTAGCAGATACCAGTCTGAGACTGTTGTGAGAATTTGGAAAAGAGCTTGGAACAGACACTAAAATGACATTGGAGACGGAGAGGAAATGAATATATATGAAAAGTATTTAAGTAGTGGAATTTACATAACCTGGGGAGCCATTGAATATAGGGAATAAGAGAAAGAGAAAAGTCTAAGGTGGCTTTCATGTCTCCATGGTTGGAAGAATTGATGTTCCTCAGAAGAGGAGCAGCTTTGATAAAAAGGTGGATGCATGAAGTTGAATTTGGAATTTTTTTTTTTTCATTTTTCTTATTTATTTATTTATGAATGAGATGGAGTGTCGCTCTGTCACCAAGGCTGGAGTGCAGTGGCACAATCTTGGCCCACTGCAACATCTGCCTCCTGGATTCAAGCAATTCTCCTGCCTCAGCCTCTTGAGTAGCTTGGGTTACAGGCGCATGCCACCACACCCAGCTAATTTTTGTATTTTTAGCAGAGACGGGGTTTCACCATGTTGGCCAGGCTGTTCTCGAACTCCTGACCTCAGGTGATCCACCTGCCTCGGCCTCCCAAAGGGCTGGGATTACAGGTATGAACAACTGCACCCAACCTCAGTTTGGAATATATAACTTTGAGGAACTGGTAGAGATGTTCTGCAGTAGAGGATGGTCAAGATGGAGAAAACAGATGGGAATTTAAGCCTTGTCTATACATGAGGCTGTGCACGGTATGTGTAGAGTTGGAAGACACAGACTCCCTGTTGGAGAGCCCCTCCTGGAGGGTCACTGAAGGAAGAGAAGGCTTCCCAAGAAGTCAGAGTAGAATGAAAAGCCTCAAGGAGTAGGTCATAGAAGCCCAGTCAAGGGTGGCGTTTGCTCAGAGATTTTACCTGAGATAAAGTGTTTCTGATAGGTTTGGTATAGGGCTTCTCGTGACCCTAGCAAGTGTCATTTCAGGGATGGTAACTGTGGAAGTCAGTGGATTCTGGATTCGATATACCAGAGAAACAGTAGGGATGTGGCTGTTCTTTAGGAAGCTTCAGCATGAAGGGAAGCGTGTAGTATACAGTAGTTATAAGAGAGAAATGGAGCCGAAGTTGGTTTTCTATGTATTTATTATTATTTGTATATGTTCAGGAAGAGGTTTAAACTATAGGGGAAAGGAGGGATACTTGAAAGAACAAATTCTCAGCAGATGAGACAGTGTGGTATCAGAATCGTGAAAAGGATTCTCCTCAAAGAGCATTCACAGATTATTATAATTTTGACAACCACTAGTGGCGTAAGTTTCAAAGAAAAAGACTGGGTTTTGTACAGAAGTACAAGCTAAAGGAGCAATAATCTGAAAGTAGCAATGTAGAGGTATGAGATGGCATCATTGCCTCTGGAGGAAAGGAGAATGAATCATTCTCCCAGAAACAGTTGGTTAATGGACTCTGGAGGAGAGCTAGACTTCAGTTAAGTCTGAAGATGGAGCCTGTGTGTTGTGGAGACCAGACAGTGGAGAGGCTTTACAACAGCCTGGGGGTGTCAGGGTGTTCAGGGCACAGACTGAGAAGGACGTCCCAGTGTGAGAGAAGGGCTGAGCAGCCGGAGGGAAAGTACATAGCTAAGGGGAGATTATCTTTGAGGTCCATGGTAGTCTTAAGGGGAGAAATGATTAGGGGAAGAGCACAGTTGATGCTAATAAGCAACAGTTTGAAAAATCTGCTTTGATGTGAAGTTTCAGTGCAACAGGTGCTGAGAGGTCCTAAGTCTTCAGAGCCCAGAAGTTATTAAGGTTCTGCTAGTAAAAAATTGCTGTGGTGAATTTGAAGAGATGTTTACTAAAGAGGATCAGGGAGAGGGGATGGGTAATGGCACCAAGGATGCCAACTTTCTAGTGGAATTAACATGTGCATGACCTCAGAGTTTCCCTCTTTTTTTTTAAAGACGGAGTCTTACTCTGTCACCCAGGCTGGAGTGTGATGGCACGATCTCGGCTCACTGCAACCTCTGCCTCTTGGGTTCAAGCGATTCTTCTGCCCCAGTCTCCCGAGTTGCTGGGATTACAGGCAAGCGCCACCACGCCCAGCTAATTTTTGTATTTTTAGTAGAGTCGTGGTTTCACCATGTTGGCCAGGCTGGTCTAGAACTCCTGATCTCAGTTGATCTGCCTGCTTCGGCCTCCCAAAGTGCTGGGATTACAGGTGTGAGCCACCATGCCTGGCATCGAAGTCTCTCTTGATAGAACACATAGGGCCTCCTGGATCTTTGTTTTGAAACAACCAAAACAAAAACAACAACAAAAAGCACTGAGCATTGTAACACTCCAGAGTGACTGTTTCAATATTGGAAGCACCTAATTTCTGAATGTTCTACTTTACAGCTCTGATTTCGGTGAAATTTAGCAAATTCTACTCTCTCTGGTGTGAAAAAAAGTTTCCTAGGTTTGAATAGAATGGATTGATGTCATTGTGATAGTGCTGAAGGCTTCCTGTAACGTTGTTGCTGATATGCTGTACTTAAAGAGTTTTCTAAGATTCTTCTATTTACCTGTTACTTGCCTGCTTCAAGGAATAGTGGGCCAGACTTTGGTGATTCCAGAGGGGTTTGTTTTTTTTTGAGTAGTTCTCTTATAGGTCTATACTTGTATTTTATACCTAAGGCTATCTGAAAATAGCAGAGTTCTCCTGCTGCTAGAGTTAGATTGGGCTCCCTTGAAAGAATACGAGTGGTGGGGGTTATGGCCTAGGAATATTTTTACTACTCTTCTGCTTACCAGAATTAGCTCATTTATCCACTTTATGGATTTAGGTGTTATATAGAGTGTTCAGTGTTTTTAAAGATGCAGTTTCAAGTAGTGATTGATTCTTCCTGTCATTACTGCATTTTTAGATCATTAAAATATTAATTATTTAACTTTTCATGTACTTATGCTGGAATTATTTCAACTGTTGAACATTAGGAAGCCTTGGAGAACATGGTTTATAGAAAAAACTTCCAATGGTTAAAAACTTTAAAATATTACTAGTAAAGGCTATAATAATTTCATAACAAATTTTTAAGTGTTGATTTTTATATATGCAGCACAGGTAAATTGAACATGAAATTGGAAATTGACAAGGATGTTGAAGTAGCAGAAAGTTACCAGTGAAAGTTATAGATGATATTTTGATGTTTAAAAAATCAGTGTGCTGCATTTTATTGCATCTTACGTACCTTTGTTTATAGAATATTCTGTATACCACTGTAAAAGTGATAACATTCTAGTTACCATTGTGAGCCACATTCCAATTTCAGAGATGTTAAAATGTAGGAGGAAACATTTTGAAATAGTGAAATATAGTGCATAAAGACAGTAAAGATGTTAATTGTATAGTAAGATCAGAAAATAGTTTGGGAAAAATGATTTTAGCCTTTTATTAGTATATTTACCCCCCAAAAAGAAGTCATATAACTTTATACCTCTTTACTTTCATGAGAGAAACACACATAAGAAATTTGAAAAATACCTTAAAGTGTATTCAAAGGCATGCCAGTGGTTTATGTATGTTAATCTTATTTGGAGACTTTCAGAGTGAACCTCTGGTTTTCTTGGTAAATACCTTTTCTAAATCATTATACTTATCTACAGTGTCATGTAAATAAAACTTAACTGAAGTATATAATAAAATATGTTTGTTCTCACATAATACTTTGGAATGACACCTTTATCCCTCCCTTGTCAAAGTGATTCGATTCTTAGAAATGAGCTGCATGTAGAATTTTATGCAAAGATATTTTATTTAGTTCATGAAATGACATCCAAACTCATTTCAGTTTCTTTCTAATAAAATTTTCACAGAACTAACTTTTAATATACATAGAAGACTGGCAGTAGAGTACATGGAAACTTAATGCTTACCATCTTTTTAGTTGCTTTCCAATACTGTAAATGCATTAATAATAGCATATATTCACTAACCACATGCATTTCATCCAAACTCGTTTGCCAAGAAAATTCGTTTAATGACAAATTTAATTCTGTAGGATATTGTAATTTCTTATTAATAATTAGAGTATTGTGGATTCTCTAAGTCATGCAGTAGACATATAACTTTTGATTAATGGTAATTTTAAATGTGGCTCTGAAATTTCATATGTAACGGTAGGTTAGAGTACATAATGCAGGTACTGTGTTAGATTTTCAGATTATTAATAAATATCAGGTGATGAAATGTGCAAAATATTTCATCAGCAGGATTGTATATGCTGTACATTTTTGCCTGATCCTTTAAGATCGCAAGACCGACTTTTAGTTTCTGGTTATAGAGTTTCATATGTAATAAGCAATTAAGTTTATGTTTTGTAGTATTTATAGTAATAATTTCTCCAGTCGTCCTTAATGCCCCTCCTCCACCTTGAAAATTCTCAAACAGAAACAAAAGTAGAGAGAATAGAAAATTATGGCTGGGCACAGTGGCTCACACCTGTAATCCCAGCCCTTTGGGAGGCGAGGTGAGTGGATCACCTGAGGTCAGGAGTTCAAGACCAGTCTGGCCAACATGGTGGAAACCCATTTCTACTGAAAATACAAAAATTAGCCAGATATGGTGGTGCACGTATGTAATCCCACCTACTGGAGAGGCTGAGACAGGAGGATCACTTGAATCTGAGAGGCAAAGGTTGCAGTGAGCCAGGATTGTACCACTGCACTCTAGTCTGGGTGACAGAGTGAGACTCTGTCTCAAAAAACAAACAAACAAAATTTAAACTCTCATAGATCCATCATCTGGCCTCAAGAGTTGTCAACTCATGGCTAGTTTTGTGGCATGGATACCTCTTTCTCTTTGTCTCCCTCCGACCTGTTTTGTTGTTGAAGAAGAAATTGAGGTATTTCTCATTTCCAGTTTCCTGCAGTCTGGATTTGCATCCCTTTAATGGTGCATGCCATGTGCCTTTGTCTCACATATTTCCTGTGAATTAGGTCTAGAGGCTTGATCAGGTTGAGGATCTTTTTCCCCCTAGCAAAAACACAGATGGTATATGTATACGTTAATACTCTTCATTTAAAAATTGAGCAGCGTGAAAACGTTTCTATTTTCATTTTTCTGTAACGCATTATTTTATACTAAAATAGGGCATGGGTAACAGAAGGATATTTATAATCAGGGCCACTAGATGTCTCCCACCTACTCTTTATGTTTTCTGTGCCATCCACAAAAGATCTTTGTCACCTTCAGACCTCTGCTGGTTCCTTTTGACCCCTGATATACCAGTCCCAAAATCTGTTGGTTGTTCTTTACTTTCGGAGGAGACTGGCAAATAGAAATGACTACACGAGTTTTACAATTTATGATTTTTAAAGCTTTAAAGGCTTATTTTGTATGGAGCATTACACTTCTGTATTTGTATTATAGTTTTTACTACACTTGTTGATGATTTTTGTCATTGAGAATTTTAAAAAATTCTACCAACCATTATATTTAAGGAGCTTACTTACTGGGCAAATATTAGGCAGGACTTGTTTTTAAAAACTTGTTTTTACGTGAGTTTCCTATAATTTTTAAAGTGACTTGTTCCTCATAAAAACACAGTTTATCCTGAGAACAGGGGAAAACTAATGCACACTTTTTTCATCATCATTCTCTGAAATCTGTTTTTAAATTCTGGACATGGTTGAGGACACAATGAATAGTTTCACATCCTGCAGCTCTGGTATTGGTCGGTGGCTTTGTACCACTGGCCGAAACAATCACCTAAATAAAGTCAACTTTACCAGCTAGTCTTGTTCTTGCACAGATGAAGCCTGACTGAAGAGAGATGGCTTTTCTGCACCTTGATGCCACTATTTTTGTTTAGAAATGTTTTGAGGATGCCTAAAAAACATTCTACAAGAGAATGAAACTTTAGATTTTAAAATAAGTAATGCATAAAATGTATTTTCATCCCGTTTTTGGCCCCACCCCATTCTTTAGCCATCCCTTTTAGATGAGAAGTTTTTAACATAGCACCTTCCAAATTTAATGAATCCCAGAACCTGTTTTTCTTGGATATTTATTAACATCTCAAAAGCATATAATAAGGAACAAAGCTTGGGAAGTGCTCATCAGGCACATTGCTCTTTTTATGTCTGTATCAAGAGATAACATTACTTTTGATGAGAATACTTGTTCTAATGGGAGGGGTACATGAGATAGGTTTGACAATCATTATAATGAGAGATAGTAATTGGTTAGAGACATAAGAACCCTGGATAAAATAATGTGATAGTCAAGAGTAGTAAATAACCACTACAGAGAGATTCAGAAAAGCTACAGGCAAGAGAAGCCATTTTAGTTGGGCATGGGAAGGCAAATAGGAATTTGGTGTTGCAGCGATGGAAGTGGGAACGGGATGTGAGCAAAGGCATGGAAGCAGGAAAATGTGAGGCACGTTGGAAGGAAGGCAGTGGGTGGCTGTTTGACCAGAAGATGAAGTACTGTGGGGTGGGAGAAGAAGGCCTAGCAGGTGATAGGTTTGGAAAATTAGGTTCAATTCCACATTACAGAGGTTGGACTCTAGAAGGCCATAGGAATAACAGTGAAGTCTGCACTTTAGGGAGGTCATTGTGGGAGTAGCTTTTGAGATGGGAGCCAACACCATGCAGTGACTCAGGTGAGTGGGGCAAGGTGAGGAAGTCTTGAATCAGGACACTGGTGTGGAGGTGGAAGACAAGACAGCCCCTTGGAAGGGTTAACAGCCTTGGAGAGGGTGGGCCCAGAAAGGGGTCTGGTTGTTGAGGGCACAGTTCAAACACAAATGTTATTAAATAGAATCATGAATCAATCAATTGCTATGAAATTAATGTTAGTTAAGTTTCCTCCTATTCTTAGTTCTAGAGCCAGTACAAAAGCCTCATGAAGGTCCTGGAGAAATGGGGAAACCAGTCGTCATTCCTAAAGAGGATCAAGAAAAGATGAAAGAGATGTTTAAAATCAATCAGTTCAATTTAATGGCAAGTGAGATGATTGCACTCAACAGATCTTTACCAGATGTTAGGTTAGAAGGGTAAGTACCTATTGTGGTCCTGATAGTATGTGAATGAAAAGTATGTTCTGAATTTTCAGTAAATTGCACTTGAGTGCTGATTGTTCTTAAGGCAAATGTTATATCACTATGTTACTACTTACCCCACTTAGAAAATAATTAAATGCTGATAGAAATAATATCTCAAGCTTCTACTGATTATTAGCACTATGTATTTCAGGCATTGGAAGATAATTATTTATCTTAATGGATTAGTAGGGGATTTTAAACTTTATTATTACCAAAATACTCACATACTCAACTTTTTACAAAAGATTTAAGTTGTATGTAACTTGAAACAGTGAAAAAAACAGTCATAAGTGCACAGTTCGCTGAATTTTTGCTATGTATACACCTGTGTAACCATCAGCCAAATCAAGACATAGAATGATCCCATCACCCTTGAAAGTCTCCTTATGTTTTTTGTAGTCAGTACTTCCATCCCCAGAGGCAGCCATTATATTGACCTCTCTAAACATAGAGTAGTTTTGTCTCTTTTTGAACTTTTTATAGTGGATCCACACCATTTTTTGTGCCTTTAAGATTCATATTGTTGCATATATCAGAAGTTTATTCTTTTCTACTGTGGTATAGTGATTTGTAATATGAATATGCCATCGTTTATTTATACATTGATAGACCTTTGGATTATTTCTACTTTTTGACCACTATAAATAAAACTGTGGTGACATTCTTGTTCATGTCTTTTGGAGGACTTAAGTGCCCGTTACTGTTTGCTGTATACTAGAGAAAGGAATAGATTATGCATTTATATAGCATTAGCATCTGTTACCAGACATTTTCCCAAAATGTTTATACCAATTTACACTCCTATCCGCAATATACAAATTAGATGTCTAGTTGTGCCATAAGAAGAAGGTAATACAAGGTACTAGAGTACAATAGGCCGAGTTAAAAGCAAGCAAACTACAGAAAATAGGTAGAGTAAGTGAACATATACATTCTGTGCTGAGGCCCCCTGCACTCCTTGCTCCCATTGATGCTGGCAGCCAAGTTTGCCTCCTCCAGAGAAGAGACTGGAAGATCTTTCTCATCAGAATTGGATAGCCCTAGAGAGAAGGGTAAGTACCTAGTGTGGTCCTGAGAGTATGTGAATGAAAAGTATGTTCTGAATTTCCAAGAAATTGCATTTTAGTGCTGATTGACTTGGGAAAGTTTCCAACTTAATGGGACAGCCTGATCACCCTTACGGCAATGCATAGTCAGTGAGTCCTACTCACGTGTTTAGGCCTCATATTCAGCCTCTTGGTCTTGCATTCTTAGTAATAAATAGATAAGCAAAGAATACTAGACATCTCAGGAAGCCCTCAACAAACAGAAAAAAGCAACTTTGAGGGAAGAAAAACTATTAAGGTAGAACACATTAAGAGAAATAACTAATAACCTCAACAAAATAGAGAATATATTACAACCATAAAATAAGAATAGGATACTATTCAAAAGATACACTGAGAGAACCAGAAAGAGCTTTTGAAAATAAAAAAATGAAAATAAAAATGCAACAAAGAGATGGACAACAGTAAAATTATATGAACATTGAAATGACAATCAGGAAATCCAATATTTTAATAATAGGAGTCTCAAAAAGAATTTTAAAAATAGGGAAGAGAAAATTTATCCACAAAATTTTCCATAACTGAACTGCACAAATTTTCAAATTGGAAGAGCCTACCAACTTTTTGTGACAATAGATGAAGATAGACTGCACTCCAAGAGATTGTGACTTTCAGAGAACACTGAGGATTTCAACTCCCAAGGGAGAAAAAGAAAGACCTTTTACAGGTTTCTTAAGAGGCGAAAGCAGGTCACAATCAAAGGGTTATTAATCAGAATGCCTTCAAACTTCTCAACAGCAACTCTAGAAACAAAGGAGCAAAATTCTAAAGGAAAATAATTTCTAATCTAAAATGTTATATTCAGCCAAACTTGCAATAAAGTGCACCGGTTAAATGAGGATATTTTTGGACATGCAAGATCTCAGAACATTGAACTGCCACACATCCATTCTCAGGAAGTTACTAGAGATAGGACACTACCATTTAAAACCTTAGTTTTAAATAAACTAAGGACAAGAAAGACATAGAATGTAAAAAACAGGAGATTCAGCTTGTGTGAGAAATGGTGAGAATGACCAGAAGATGATGAAGGGAGAGCCTGAGTGAGAGTTGCACAGGCAGAAGCGACCAGCCCAGACGGAGCCGGTGAGAAAATTCCAGAAGAGACTTCAAGAAGATGCCATTGAAGTTACACCTGATATGGCTGAATGTCTACAGTAGATTTAGACAATTGATGGGAAGTTTGAGATTAAAATACATAGAAAACCATAGTAAGAAAAAAAATTAAATGGGCACTACCTTCAGGGAAAACTTTAAAAAACTTGTTCAGAGAAAACAAAAGTAATCATAGTTTACTACTACATGGCTTAGCCATGAATAAGTCACGATAAGGTAACTGTTGAATACTGTGCATGTAAAAATTAAACAAAGGAGATGAAGAGTATCTCTTTATCCAGCAAGTTGATTAAGTGGAGATCCGTCAAAAGAAGCTTAATTTGTAAAGATTTTTCACAAACTGTTTGCTTTCCTGAAAATTTAAACATTGTTGAAGAAGACTGTAGATTCTCCACAGTCTGCAGTTTAAATGATGCTTGTATTATAGACAACCTTACACTTCGTTCAAGAGCCTCAACTATTGTTGTTTCTAGTAGAATCGTTTTTGTCATTTTAATAACTCCCCTAAGTATATCACCACTCTCAACACATGTTATTAAACATTTATGTCTTTTTGTCTTGATGTGGTTTTTGAAGATACTTTTATTAATGAGTACCTTCTAAGTGCATTGTAAGTCACCAGGTTTTGGACATTGAACAGCTTTATGATATTAGGAACAGTGTTGAAATGGTATGATACAAATGCTTATGCACCAAGTTTCACACTTGATGATCAAGACTCCTCAGACCCGACAAAGTCCACTTTTGTGAAAGCTGCCAGTACATAGTCCTTCTGGCCAACCGCTGGGTCTCTGTGGGACTGGGCTGCCTAGGAGGTAGCGCAGAGTCACTACTACCACTGAGTAGCCTTTTTATGTCTTCATTCCATCTCTGGACTGATACCCTTTTTTAAAAAAAAAAGTTTTAGAATTTTTATTATGGAAAATTTCAAATGTATACAAAAATAGAGATAATAATGTAATGAACCCTCATGTATTCACCACTCAGCCTCAGCAATTCCTAACAGTTTTGTCTTATGAATTCTTATACCCTCTGAGATGTCCCCCAACAATCTTTGCCTCCTGGGATTCACACCTCTTTGTAGTCTCCATGTTGCACTGAGATTGGTCTGTTGAGCAATAGAACATGGTGCAAGTAAAATGAAGTATCTCCTTCAATATTATGTTATCAAATATGCTGTGGCTTCCACATTGGTCTTTACTCTTGCTGTGATCATTTGCTCTGGGATAAGCCCCTGACACAATAGCAGCAGCCCTATGTTGACACCTGTGTGGTTTATGGCTTTTTCTGAACAACCAGGTAAGTAAGATTAGAAGCATATTCTCTAACCCCAAGCAAAGACAAAACATTTCTAAATATTTTGGTATGTAGCTCTGAAAGATAAGGACTCATAGAAAAGAAAAATAAAAATCATGATACCATTTTCACCCCTAAAATAACATAAACAATGATCCCTTCATATCATAAAATACTCAGTTAATATTCAGACTTCCCTAGTTATGACATACATATTTCTTTTTTTATAGTGTAGGTGTCAGGATCAAAATTGCAGCTGGTGGATATTCTCTTAAGTCTCTTTTATAAAGTCTGTAGGTTCCTTCTCTATCTTTTTTCCTTACAGTTTATTATTTGAAGAATCCAGGTAGAATACCTCACATCTTTTCTCAGCCTACATTTTGCTGACTGCATCACTGTGGTGTCATTGAACATGTTCTTCAGTTCCCTGTCCTGTGAATTGGTAGTTAGACCTAAAGGCATATTGTACCAATATCCTTAAAGTCAAGTAAATTGTGTGCTTGTGGTATTAAAGGTGTGAGATCTGGCCCATAATATGCATTGTTATTGGACAGGTTCATTACATGTTTCATTTGTCTATTTTCTCTTTCTGTAGCTCATGTTAGCTAGGAATTAAGTGCATTGAGGAAGAAAATACGTTATCAAAGTTGACAATGTGAATGCTGCATATCAAAACTTGTGGAATGAAGCTAATTCCATGCTTAGGTGATAATATGTACCGTTAAATACATATGACTTTTTTAAAAAAGAAGATGGAAAATTACTGAACTAACCATCTTAAGAAATTAGAAAAGGAACAAATTAGAATAAGTAGAAGAAAGAGTGGAAACTTAAAGCTTGGAAACTTAGGAAATAAAAACGTACAGTAGAGGAACAGCAAAGTCAAAAGTTCATGGGAAAAAAATGTTAAAATGGACTAATCAAGAAAATAAGGAGAGTCACAAATCCATATAAGGAGTGAAAGCTGGTGTCATTACAGATCCAGACCTTAGAAGATAATATATCACAAAGATGAGAAATTATAAAGTAGAATACAAACATCAAGTATAGAGGCTCAACAAAGCTGAAAGTTCTTTGGAAAAAAATCAATAAAATAATAAAATCAAAAAACGCCTTTCTAAATAGCAAATAATGGTATGAAAAAGACAGCATCCCTGCACATCTTGCAGACATTTGAAAGATTATACGTAGATTTTATGAGGTTTTTTAAATAGTCAAACTCATAGAGGCAGGGTGTAGAATGGTAGTTGCCAGGGTCCAGTGGCAGGGGAGAAAGGAGGAGATGCTGATTAGTGTTTCAGTTATGCAAGATGAATAAGGACTAGATATCTGCTATACAGTATTGTGCCTGTAGATAACAATACTGCATTGTACCCTTAAAAACCTAGATCTCATGGTAAGTGTTCTTACCACAATGACATAAAGATAAGATTA